GTCTTCCCCACCGGCCCGGCTCTGTTTGCGACAGATAATTATAAATGTCTTTTGTCCGCCCAGTCGCCAGAATGAATGAGCGAGTGACTGAGAAGAGGAGGCTGTTAAAGCGGCAGAATTGTCGGGGGGTGGATGGAGGTGTGTGTGTGTGTGTGTGTGTGTGTGAGTGGGGAAGGGAGGAGAAAAAAAGACAAAAGGGAGAATGTGAGACGGTGAAGTGAATGCACATAATTTACAGTGCCGTTCTCCATCAGACAAGGATCTATAATTGAAATGACAAAGAAGATGCATCACCGAGCCAGTTGTTAGTGTTGGAAGCCATGAATTTGAGTTCTAGTAGCTGACACCTCCTGTGTCCCCACTCTGTCAGTCATCCAGGACTTATTTTTGGGAGGGGGCGGGGTCACAGGGAGGCCAAGCTAATGCGCTCTAGTGTGTGTGTAGTACTTTTATTCATCTTCAGGACGTGAGTGTGCAGGGGATGTTTGGTTCAGATGACGAGAACATCCACTGTGTTAATGTTCATTAACCCGAGCCCTGTGTATGTCGCCAGATAATCAGCATCATCAGTCACATCAAACTGTGCTCATCACACAGGGCCGGTGTTTACAGATGAATCAGTGTTAAAATCCGAACACCAGGGGGCGATCAAGATGATTTGGCTTCATTCTTGCGAGCTGTCACATCCTCAATGGATGTAACCCACGTTTACCTTCCTGTAAAAACACTTTGGATTGACCTCTTTCACATAAAACTGATTTATACGTTGTTCGCACCAGAGGATGTGAAGGCTTCATCCAGAGATGAATTCCACCATTTTGTTTTATAACATTGTTCATTTGATGCGTGTTCTGATTTGTATGCTCGGTTTTAATAATCATCAACGATCAACACATTTAAAATCGTGATTCTTGTGTCTTTCTACAGGAAATGTGAAGCAACAGCTGCCGATATACCAGGTAGGCCCCGATTTAAAGAAGTTACCACGCTGTCACAATCCTCTCCCTGTAAAATTTCGTTTTGTTTCAAAAGTATAAAATGTACCATCCACCTCTGTGTCGTTGTTTGTGAAGCTGTGTTTGTTGCGGTGCTTCCTGTTTCTCTGCAGACAGATGGCGTATTAACGCTGAAACTCGGCTCCCTCAAAGCCCCTCGCCATGAGAACAGTGGACAGGTCCTGTCTATGGACTGGCTGCCGGAAAAACCACACAATGTAATAGCTATTGGATTCTATGACGGTATGAATTGATTTCTTGGGGATGTTCTTGATTAATTGGTTCAGCGTCTGAGAGAGCAAACAGATGAGCAGCCTGGATCCCTTCAGGTTCATCTGTTCCCGTCCTGACAAACAAAAAACATGATTCACTGGTGTCTTTTGCAAGTTGGAAGAATATAATCCATTCTTTTCTTTGCCCTCTGACTCTTTGTCTCTATCTCCAGGTATCGTGGGTCTTTGGGATCTGTCCACTAAGTCTACGTTGCTGCAGATGCGAGAGTCGGACGGGTCCCTGAGTCTGCTGCCCTATCGATGCTTGCTTGCTCACGATCACGCTGTCCGGGCGCTGGCCTTCTGTCCCGCCTCCAGGTAAACGCTGATCTCATGTCCCCGTGCCGCAGATATGTTTCCAGGTTGTCTTTTCATTTCATCGTTTTGAACACGATATCTTAAGGACATTTCACTCCAGATAAAACGAGTCAGAAAACCTGTAATTTATTGAGCGAAAACTCAGCTTGTCACTGTATTGTATAGAATTTGGACTCGTGAAGAGTGAATGGTTGTGTAAATGTAATATTTCCGTTTCAGGGGTCATGTTGTAAATCAGTGAAGTGAAAAAGTTGATCGGAGTTTATCTGTATTATCTTTTTTTCATAATGAAATCAGTTTCTATCAGCTTTAAAAAAAACCCTCGTGCAGAAAAGGAGTGAAAAATGTAAGAAACACTGAAGGAGCATCACAGAAGAGAGAAGTAATTGCTTGGATCTGTTTATGTTTTTTCCCCATCTGCTGCAGTTTGGCACTTTTATTCACTAACCTTTAAAAGGTGGGTTGAAGCTCAGCAGCACAATAAATCCAGAGGTTTGGCAGAAAAGCCCTTTCTCCAGTGTATTCAGGCACTAATTCATAATGTAGGGAACAAGGCCTCGTGTGCAGCCATGTCCTCTCTGAGCCATCACCAATTCAATGAGGTAACCTCACTTATCGCTACACGTGCACTGACCTTCAGGCTGCGGCACTTCTGGGCTCAAATCCTCTGGAGTAAGATCTTCTGTGAGCTCTTCTTCCTTTGAGGAACATCTGTTGATATTTCCCTCCTTCAGAGAACACAGGAACACTGACGAACAGGGAAAAATATCCTTGCGACTCTTTTCAGTGCTACTTATTCTTTTTGGACTTTTTCCAGGAATCGCTGGTCTCTGCCGTACATGAGCACAGAGAGAAGACTCGACTGTCCACTATGTAATTAAAGGCCATAGCTCAAGATTTCACGTTAACCCTTGTAGGAACCGTCTCACCCCTCCTCACATTAGTCTGCCCTGCTCCATTACTCAGCTGATGTATGTGTAGATGAGGGGGGGGGAGATGGAAGGGTCATTTACATCACCTGCGTCCGCTACAAGGATTCACCGACGACACTGATTCGCAGTGCGAGTCAGCATAAGTGCTAAAGCAATAACCCGAGTCAAGATTGGCTTTTTATTAAAATTCGATATTGGCCAGTCAGTGTGTCAAGGAGTCCCACGTCTCCTCTCCAGTAATGGTCGTCTCTAAAATCTGCAGTGAGAATAAATCTCCTGAGGTGAGGACAGGCCACCTGAAAAATGATGAACACGTTTTTGTGTCACGTGACGCAAACGGCTTCGCGAAGGATTTTTTTTCTGCCTTGACGTGATTCAAGAGTCGGAAGAAGAAAAGGAAAGTAGTTTTTAAAGAAAGTTTAGGTTTTGATAAGTAAGTCGTGCTCTGCATCGTCTTTCAAAGTCTTCATCAGTTCATCTAAAGTATCAGTGGTGATTTAGTTTTGTCTGTTGGTTGGTTTGTTTAAATGTAGACTGTGTTTAAATCCCTGTAGATAATTAACGTTGGCGTTAACATCACTGCATTACTGTTGGTCTCCTGCCAGATCTGAGGCTAATTTGATGAACAGCCGTGTTCCTCCGTCCGGTCTCTGTCGTTTGTCAGCGTCGACTCTCGGTTTTTCCGTGAAGGCAGATTTGAAAGTTATGGAGCCGAGGCTGAATAACAAGATTAATCCTGCAGCCGAGAGAGACTGAGGAGGACAAACATCTTGTCTGGATCACTGCTTTTTAATTACACAGCCATGTTGAAAGAGATAAAACTACCCCCCCCCCTCTCTGTACCTGTTTTCTTTTCTCCTCTTCCTCTCCACATTCATACACCTCTGTTAGTTTCTCAGTGAGCTCAGGTCGTATTGATCGCTCTGTCTTCGTTTGTCTTACGGCAGACGCTGCTGTCAGATTCGATCAATGTTCGTGTGATGATGCATTTCAGATCAACGTTCAAGCGTTTTCCTCCGGCGGGAAAATCACGTATTGCTTCTCTCCATCAAATCAAAAACGGACACCGACTCTTTTCTCTCTGTTCGTCTCAGCAACCTGTTGGTGACGGGAGGAGAGGACCGCTGTATAAAGACGTGGGATCTGAAGAGGCTCGATCATCCAATCACTGTTCAGAAACGCTATCTGACCAATGAAATCTATTGGCCGTTGAACGCACCGGGCTACCTGATGGCCCAGGATGCCGCCTATGTAGCGTAAGAAAGCTTTTCTGAGAACTCCACACTTCACACAGCTCTTACACGACCGTTGTCATGTTAAATTCACACCGGCTGAACTTTGTCTGCACCTAACATTGACGAAAGGGAAGAATCTGGATGTTTTATTAATCCAACATTTATTGTAAATTGTATATCCTCTTTAATTAATTGGTCTTGGACTCCAGAACATTTGAAGTACGTTGCAGATCATGTGACATTATTTCTTTCTCTTCTTTTATTTAGGAAGGGTTCACACGGAGTCCACTTCTTTGACCATTTCATGCAAACCGTCTACGCAATTCCTCGGACCGGCAGTCTGTGGGTGAGTGTGACTCGGTATTTCTTAACCCGCTACTCATTAATATGTTTGTCACACACTTAAAGAATATTAGGACACCTGTCCGTCACAATGAAGGATTCATAGTTTTGGGCTTTTTATTATTTTAGACAAATCGAGATGTTAAATTGTTCTTATACCTAAAACTATCTTTAAATTTCCCTGTCAAGCCCGGAGGTCATTTCGTTTTCTGCACTGAAAGTTACAGTCGGTTCATATTGGGCCAAAAATTCTTTCTTAATTTCAACATATTCCAAAATCGTTAACTCGACATCAATTCAAGAGAAAACTCACGAGCACGGTGCTGATTGGTCTGTTTCTGTCTCCCTGCAGTCCTTATCTTACACTGACTGGTTGAACAGCGTGGTGACGTCAGACAGTCTCGGTGACGTGATCTTCGCCATTTTACCTGAGATCTGCAACAGTTGTCCGTACATCAAACGCACAATAGAGAGACGATTCGTAAGTTTCTGTTTCTACTTATTCTGTATTTATTCTTAGATAATGATCACATGTTTAAATTATATTTTCGACCACATCTTGTATTATTCTACTGATATAATAATCAACACCTTCTTCTGGAGCTTTTTAAATAACTGTCCAAACGTAAACTTTACTGTTAAAACACTAGATTGAATGTGACAGTTAATTATTCTGATGAAATGTGAAGACAGTCATTTTTTTTGTACCTGTCTCCTTTCCGATGTATCTTCAGCCGATATACACGACGTCTCTGGTGCCTCATGCCACAACTGATGAAGAAGATCCCGAGATGGGAGCAGCGGAGGTGGAGGGAGTGGCAGCTGAAGAGCAGGAGGGAGGAGAGGCGGGAGAGCAAGATCCTGGATCTGAAGGTGGGGACGGGAACGATAATGAAATCGGAGGAGAAGGACAAAGAGGTCGAAACAATGCAAGCCCCCCTCTGCGGTTCCAGACGTACAAAGAGGCTGTGAAGAAATACTGCCTTCACTACACAGACAGCAATATGGTGCGTACACAGACAAGTACAATGAAAACAAACTTTATCTCAACACCCGTCACCAAGTGCTTCACACAAGGCAACAAATAAAAACAGCAGAGTAATTAAAGGAATGAAAAGGTCGATTAAAGACCAGATGAGGTTTAGAAATAAGTGATTGTGACGATTTCTTTCATCGGGAAAACAAAAAGATTTCAGAGTTTTTACTTCAGATGATAATTGATCCTTTAATCATAATTGTTCAGAAAAAGTTTCACTATATTTCTAATGAAGCATCAAACATAAGAAATGAAAAAAGTCAGTTTAATGTCTGAGCTTAAAGTGTAAAAGTTTAAAAGTGTAAAGTTTTATGACAAACGCAGACGAAATCAAAATAAGAAACTGAAACGTTCTTCGAATCGTTTGGTTTATGTTCATTCATCATCTCATCGTTTCGCCATCGTCTGCTTGTGGTTTAAATTATCTGCACCTGACTGCAGAATCAGAACATTTTCACATTTACGTAGGGATGAGAGTAACACTTATATTAAATGCTGGGGGATAAAAGTGTAAATATATCGTCCCGTCTGTTCGTCTGTACTCGATCTGTTTCTGGTGAGAGAAGTGACTGCAGGTAAAGATCTGCTCATTCCCAGTTTTATGGGCAGTGATTATCTGCCAGTTATTAACTTCATCAACTGATCAATTGCTTTGTCTAGAAAATATCAGGTGGCTGTAATAATCTCCCACAGCCCGAAGTGATGAATTCAAAATGCATGTTTTATTTTGACCAACAATCCCTGACTGAAGAAACTCATTTCATTTATTTCATGTCCGTCGTCTCCGACCTCCAGCGCACCTTTGTTGGCTGCGAGAAACAAGCTTCCTGGAAACACATGAGAGACATGGAATTGAAGACAGCGATGAACCTGGATGAGATGCAACTGGCTGCACTACACAAGGTATCGAACCCACGCAGTGACACATCATCAGACTCCCGCTGCACCTCAGCATGTAGAGGAGGAAGAGAAAGAGAAACTCCAGCGCTAAAGAGGAGAGGAGATGCCAGAGAAGCATCCCTCCTCGTTCTCCTCCTCTGATGGGCGGCTATAAAGACGAGTGGAATGTAATGATGTGTAAAATGAGAAAAATGTCACCCTCAGAGGAGGGAGGGAGGGAGGGAGGGAGGGAGGGAGGGAGGGGGGAGATGGAGAGCAGCCATTTGAGGATTTGATGTGTTTAATTTTAAGAGCGGCAGAGTGGTGGGTGCCGGCGCCGTGCCCTCTGGGATGAGATGATGGACGGACACTTCACGGGGACAATCTCAAAAAAACAAAACGCCATCAGCTTGGTGACTGGATCTCTTGTCTGAAGGGGATAAATGGATTAGACAGAGCGAGAGAGTGAAAGAGAGAAAAGAAGAGAGAGGCACACCTGAAGGATTTATAGTGATGAAGAGGGGGGGCTGAGTCATTCACAGAGGAGGGACGATTGATTGAATAAGAAGAAGAAGAAGAAGAATCCAAGTTAAGTAACAACTGTAGTTTATCATTTCTCTTCCTCTTCCTCTCCTCAGGTGCGTTTCAACCCAAACATGAGCTGCCACGTCTGGGTAGCGTCGGGAGGCCAGACGGGGCTGGTCAGACTGAACTGTCTGAAGAGCATGATCAGCCCCAATATCAAGAAGATGATAAGTGAGAACCAGGCGCAGTTCAACGCCCTGTACTCGCCGAAAGACCAGAGCGAGGCGGTCCAGACCGAGACTGAGCAGCTATAGCAGGAGCTCAGCGTCAGGAGGTGGATCCCACCGTCCCACGAGTCTTTGGCTGCAAAAGAAAGAAACCTGCAAAACGAAAAAAAGCATTTTTTTAAGAGTCATTAGCACATTTACTGTTCATTCTTCTGGTTTGATCATATTTCAAAAGGCTTAAAATGATCAGCAGTTTTAAATTTAAGAAGAAACTGTTCCTGTGGGAACTCTGCCTGTAAGTGTCGGAGGTAGGTTTATCCTCCGCAGACAGAACAGAGCTTTACTCCGCACCAAACGTCCCACGGACATATTGTTTTACTCTTTTTACACGTCGGGCGGTCGGAGCAGTTGGCAGTGCCTTGTTTAAAACACCTATTTATTATTGATTCCTAGTAGATCAAGTTGGGTTTCTCTTGCTAAGGTTTCTCTTGTTTGGCAGTGAGTCGACTGGTGGCAGCAGTGGAATAAGAATCAGGCTCATTATCATTTACTTTCACAAAAAAAAATCAACCCTCAGGAAAAGTAAGTAAGTACCTGCTGCACTTTGTTCCACGGTGATAAATTCAGGAATGACAGTACATCCATTTAAAAAGGAGGATGAAAACGACTTCTCTTCTTTTTCTCATAAACGTTGTTCTACTTCCTCAACATCGGTGAGATAAGTCATTCTGGACGAAGAATCAATAACTCAACAACAACAACAACAGTCCCCTTAGATTCAATCAAGACCGAGTTCATCGATCAATCCCCTGAATACTCTGATATTTTTCTATGAATCGGTGGCGTCAAACATTTAAAAAAAACAACCTACCTCTTGATGTTGAAGTGAAAGAATCCTTCACCTGCCCCAACACTCAACCTTTTCTTTCTTCGTCCATCCTTTCACCAAGTTTCTTGTAAAACAACTTCGGAGGTAAAACCAGTTTCCTTTCTGCCGTGACGTCGCCACCGTGCGTGTGTTTACGTTACATTACATCGTGATCTGCGTGATATTGCGTTCTCACGTCTCTTGCCTTATTAGCAGAAGCGTACAGAATGTCACAGTTGGGCGATCACAAACCTCTCGGGCTGGTTTTGTTTCCAGACTCTTCGCCTTAAGACTCTTTTGTGAGAAGAGGAGAACACAAGAAACGTTTCTGTTCTGTTCTCCTGCCCTTCCCCCGCCTCACTGTCGAGTTTCAGATCATCAGTCACAGCCTGGGGAGAGTCGAGGGTGTCGTTAGGATCACGCTGGTGTATTTTTGAATTTGATTCTTTTTCTCTACAACTCAGCCTGTGACTGAGCGGAAATACTTGAATATTTTTTAATGTAACTTTGCTGGATGTCATGTTTAGAAGTTTTAAGGTCTTTTTCCGAGTTTGTTTTTTTTTTTCTTTACCTGTTGAACATTTTAATTCCGTTAGCAGCTGCAGCTCAGTGAAACTATTATAATTTATTTTTTCAGCATCTACAAAACTACTAGATATAAATATTTACAGGTTCAGGTTCAGTTAAAGGTTTGAAACATGCTTATTGTTCTGTGATAACTTCCACATTTAATTTACAGTTTCTGGATCAGTTTTCATCAAAACCATGATGACGTTGTCAGTCATGATAATTTTATAGTCATTCATAAAAGGTTCAGACTGGACAGAACCTGCTCTCATTCTGTTTTTCTGTCTGCTGTTTTTTTTTAATGAAATATATTTGAATAAATGATTAAGATTCTAATTTCACACTTGATTTTGGGGGAAACTATTTTATCACAAAGTCTATTAGTAGAATTCATCAGGGACTAACTCACTCGTTATTTAAACAGAACCAGAACACGGCGTGGTTCAGGTCTCTCGAAAAAAATAATCCAGCCTCTCTCCATCATCTGCAGTCGTTTATTTCACTTTACAAAAATCTCTTGCCACACATAAAAATGAAATATCAAACATCACAGACGTGACGACCAGAACACACACGGACAAACAGGACTTTTTAGAGGCCGATTGTACAAGGAAGGTGAGTGTATTTACACAAGTATACACAAAATCATACACAGAAAATACACAATATTTGACATATTTACAACGGTCACAGACGTACATTTGTCACAGCACAACACCGAGAGCATTCTCAGACAGGAGACTTTCATGGTGAACAAACAGGAACGGTGGATTTCTGGACTTTAATGAACTTTATCAGAGTTTAGCTGCAGTTTGACACTTTAGCCAGTTTGCATGTTCATCCAAACTACAGTGAAATGCATTGGTCTTTATTACATTCATTTAGTTTTCACTCATATTCTGCTTTTCTATGACTTTAAAGGGTTTTTTATGTAAATATACAGTTTATCCTTAAAAATGGTGAAAATATAGAATTTTTAAAGAAGATCATTTTTCTTCGATTAATCGCCCGCATGGTCTATCAACACATTTTGATTGGCAGTTGAACAAGAAAACTTTTGACTGTACATGATATTAGTTAACAGCAAACAACCATGCAAGTTATTTGGATCTGAATGGATGTCGACGAGGTGTTTACTATGTCCTATTGTCCTTTCTTTGAGAAAAATAAAACCCAAAACAACTATCAACAACACTGTAAGCATGTGGACCGGCTCGTGGGCTGTTCTTATTGGTGCAAATTATAAAATGTTTATTACTCGATTCCCAAACACTGACCCGTACCACCCAGAACCAGGGGAGGGAGTACAGAGACCAGAGGATGAATCCTTATTCTTTATCATTTATTTTAAAATACCACCATTCAAATACTACCTTGATTATCTCAGTACACTTTTGAATTAAAGCAAACTCCAGCTCCCCAGGGGATGAACCTCCTCACACAACCTTTCCTAAATGGATCCACTCAGTCAACGACAGATCAGCTGTTAACTTGAGGCTGTTCGTTGTCACCAGAGGATGAAACTTTCATTGTCCACTTTCACACAGCAACACAATCTGAAGGGCAGTTTTCCATGGAATTAAATAAGCACATTTTGTTCATAGGATGACCATTACTCCTCCTACAGGATCGGTTTTTCACACAGGGTCAGAACAGGTTGTTTTTTTACACGAGCACCATTTTATATTAGATTTCGTGTCAGATATTTATTCCCCTTCACGGATCATTAAACTGCAAAGTAACTGAAAACTGTAGTTGATTGACTTGAAAAACCCAAACGGACAGACGGGCGGACGGATAGATGAGATCTTGGGGAACAGAGAGACGCTGCAGACGGATTGTTTCCACTGAAGCTGCAGGACGAGTGACAGATAGATGAGATGGATGAATCTCAAGCTAATCGTCCGACCGCAGGACTAAATCACTTCTGCCCCTCGGACTCGTCCGTTCGATGGAAGCATCAGAGTGATTTTCCAGCCGAGGCCTAACTCACTCCACCGTCCTCCTGCTCGGCTCGTATCGATACTCTGCTCACTATCAACTCACAAAGAAAACCCGCAACACAACAAAACTATCAAAAGAACCTCCGCTGAAAATAGCCCTTAAAATTAGATTTGAGGCTGTCGGCTTCGTCAGAAACTAAAATCTACCACACATCAACCGATCCTCACGTTTCCGCTGATGACACTCAGATCTAGATGCTCACTGATGGACAACATAATGTTGCTGACCCACCAACGCTTCCAGCACGGAGCTGGAGCTGGAGGTTTATCTTTGGCACGATGTTCACTTCACATTTTACTGAATTAGAAGAAACACTTGAGCCAGAATCCCGTGAAGTATAATACAGTAAAATGTTTAAAGGGGGGGTGAGGCCAGTGTGTGGGATCATTTCACCCAAATCCTCGACTTTTCTACTTTTTCCTCTTGAACTTAAACGAAGACTTAACGACGCCTCCTCCAAATCAAAAAAGTTTACAAGTCCCTCAGACTTTTTGTTAAAAAAGTCTGGTATTGGTGGAAAAGCTGCTTTGACATCATGGCTTTGATTTATTGTGTTATTGTGTCTCCACTTGGGGACGATGTGACCCTCGCTCTTTCTGTGATCTCTCGAAAACAACAAGCAACAGTGAGTGCAAATTTACATTTGCAGAGAGGTATTATTGAAGGACGTCAGTCGGTGTGGTTACAGATAACAGAGAAGTTTACAATGAGAACTTTTCAGCGGTTGAAACTCTTTCAAAATGTCACTAAGGACCAACCAGCAGCGCGGAGCTCCCTGTCTGACCTTTGGCGGAAGAAGCAGGCGAGTGGAACAAAGATGATTCGACTGTTGAGTGAGAGTTTGGTAGACGATCATTTGGTAAAGTTGAAAACGACAGACATCAACGTCATCCATGTGTCTCGGGCAGATGTTTGCATCAGGTGCTCCATCCTCACACTGAAACACACTCGTGTAGAAACCATTGCTCCGTGTGCTTCACGCTGATATATATTCGGATTTGCGTTTCCAGGGAAGTTAGAAAATCAGCAGGAGGCGTCGCTCTGTGGAGTTGAGGACACGTGCTCCTATGTCTGGCAGTTTCTTTCATTTTACATGAAATACTAAAAATCAGGCAGTGTTTTTTTAGATATCACCCACTCGGGCAGACTGCACCACAAGAATCTGTTTTCTCCTGAAATTGTTGCATATAAATAAACCTGGCTGGATTCTTTGAATGGACTTTTCATATTTCATTTTAAAGCTTGTTATCCCATTCTTAACTCCATGCTTTGAGAGGGTGCTCGTGATGGACCCCTGCTGGTCATATTTATATCAATGCAGAACCCAGAACTTCTCGGACAAATGTAATGGACACATCCATCGTTTAATGGCTCTGTTGCATATTATTTAATGAGGACTTGATTGGTATATTCCTTGCTAGCATGGAGCACCAGCATCTGCACTTGACAACCAACACATGGATGATTTGTCGTCTGATTTCTTGTGACTTGATGGCAAACGCAACAATCTACCAAAAGCTCGTTCTATACATGTTTTACCGGGAGGCTGCGTCTTGAGTACAGCTGTGACTGAGGAAGCCCAGGGAGGATGAGAATGTGCCCGAGCCGCTCCACGTTCCTTTTTGCGTCCGGTCCAGTCGGGTTCGGTGTCAGCATCAGTCACTGGGGTCCTGGCAGTGGGAGCAGTGGCTCATGTCCTCAGAGTAGAGCTCCACCTGGATGGTGATGCTGCGGAAACCGAACTTGGTCTGGAGCAGTTCAGTGGCCTCATGAAGCACAGACTGTGGGTCAGTTCCCTCCTCTGACGTGGACATGGAAAGAGGAAAACAACACAGTGAGTCCTTTGTGCTGGTTTATAGAAATCCAGATATTTGAATTCACTCCGCTTGATATTTACTGGATTCTGCTCTGGATGATTTCTATCAAGTCGACCTCCTACCTTGCTAAATGCTTTGCTGCTCTACTTTTCATTTTAACCACTCAGCTCCTGTGTGAAACGTCTGTACTGTCCCTAAGTGAAGCGGAGCTGCATCGCGGCGTTGCCTTACCTACTGCCAGGTGAACGGAGACCAGCGACTGGCCCAGAGTCAGAGCCCAGAGGTGCAGACAGTGCATGGACTTCACAGCCTTCACAGACAGCAGCACCTCCTTCACCGAGTTGAACTCTATTCCTTTAGGAGACCCTGAAAGACGGGAGGCCAGAAAATGACACAACAGAGAGTTTCTGTGAGTTTAGCTCGCGATGCAAAGTCAACTTCAAACTGCACTTCAGTGGTAAAGTGGACTTTTCATTTCCCGACGATTAAAAAGCTCATTAACATCACAGAGCTCGTTCCGTCGAGACTAAGAGAGACGCCTCAGGTGCTACTTGTGAGAGTCGCTTCGAGTAAAATCAGTCAAGTGCAAATAGATTTTTTTGTCCCAAAAGTCTTAAGGACATCCCCGGGATGAGACTCTGTTCTTCCTCTTAAAGGTCGAACCAGCTGGTGAAGGTCTGTTTAGCCCTGTGTCATGTTTCCATCTGGTGACTTATCATCATCTCGAGTTCACCAGCGTTCTGAATGAACTCCGGGGAAAAGACTCTGACCTCGTTAGATCAGGTCAGAACTCGACAGCTCCATCACTGTGTGATGGTCAGAATCTCCACTTCATCTCATCTTTAAACGAATAGTTCAACAATGTTGGTGATGATTTTATAGAGAGATGACGGTTCTAAAATTCTAATTTCAAATTTCTTAGTGATGAGACAGATTTTTTTTGTACTTCTGGAGTTTTTTTTTTACGAGATATTCTCACTAAATATCTAAACTGCTGATCCGTTGGTCTGGTACCTTCCATGAGTATCCTGAAGACGTCTCTGAGGATGGTGACGGTGGTGCACAGGACAAAGACAGAAAACAGGAACGTACAGATGGGATCTGCAACTTTGTACTCCGGCTGCAAGAGGGAGAAAGAGATCCCAGGCATCAGATGGTGTTTGCCACAGTCACGAGGTCAGAGAGCGCTCGGGGCGGAAAAAGACGGGAGCATCTTGCATGAATAATATTGCAAATATTTAACCCTGTCATCCAAGACTCTGGAGAAATTAAAGGTTTAAACACGTTGATATGATGTTTGGAAGATAACCCATCGAAGTTTTGTCAGAGTTTTTTTTATTAAAGGACCAAACTGACATTTCGGTCTCACCCTAACAGGAATGTGATCTATATCTGACCCGAAAGTAGATGATGGTCGCTGCCACCATGACGCCGACACTCTGCAGCAGGTCTCCGACCACGTGGATGAAGGCCGCTCGCACACTTGTGTTGCTGTGGCCACCGAGGAGCGCGTGGCTGTGGCCGTGGCCGTGAGAGACGGGACTCTGACCGTCCTCGTCAATGTGGTGGTAACCGCTGCCGTGAGCGTGGAAGGTGGTGGAGTGGTGGAGGATGTAGGCCATTCTGCGGAGAGACAGAGGTAAATTACCGCGGAGCAACGCACCAGAAACATTTGGAATCAGTCACAGTGGCATGGGTGTGAAGAGAGTGATGCCTCGTGACTGTCTGGAATCAGTTTTCACCTTTTCGAGATGTTTACGTCTCAGAATGTCAAATGATAAACTGGAAAACACAGATTTCTGGATCCTCATTCAAATTGAATGGGTTTTTTTCCCCGTGAGCCGTTCTGCATCCTTCCTCTAGGTCTCATGATAATCCATTTAGTTTGTGTGTCATCGTGTTTGCAAACTAACAAATAAACGAACATGTGCTCTGAAGATCTAAAAGAAGTTTGTTTTTAAAAACAACCTGATGCAAGATTTATAGCAACGACAGCACCACGGGTCGTAACGTCCTCTAATGAAGCCGTTAACGCTCATTGTGTTCAGGAGCACTCACACGATGTTGACGATGACAGCACAGCCGGAGGTGACCAACATTACGTGGCCATTAATCTCGTAGTCGTTGCGTACGATCCTCTCGATGGCTAAATAGACCAGAGCCCCCGTCACGATCCAGATGGACACGACCGAGATGAACGCCCCGAGGATCTCTGCGGACAGAGGAGAGGCAGGAATCTCCTTCACTTCATCAAACACAGCGTGATGTGAAGTTCAACATCCAAACACACAGAACACAGTCGAGTCCGAGAGGTTCACCCTCTCAGCTTTGAAGATAACTTCATGACAGCTTCGTTTCACAGTTTCAATAACTGTCACTGTGATATACACATAAAACAAATCACCATCATCAAACATTATCACATCCTCGATCTGCTTCTGACCTGATCTGTGCCAACCGAAGTTCATGGTCTTGGTGGGCGGTCTGGAGGAGATCCACAGTGAGAACAGGCTCACCATCATGCTGCCGAAGTCCGTCAGGAGGTGGGCGGCGTCCGTCATGATGGCCAGGCTGTGGGCCAGGTAGCCTCCTGCAGGAAACCACAACCGTGAGCCGAGAGACGTTTGTGCTCATTTGTCTGCTGTGTCACAGTGTGTCCATGATGAAAGAATAATGAGTTTGTATCGAGCAGCTGAAACATCTAGTCTCAGTTTCCCAGATGTCTCGTGTTTTAAATCATTGTTGAATATCTGTTATTTGACAGCTTTCACTGTTTTTGTTTGAAAAATGTGTTAATTGGTGATAAACTTGGCGTATACCATAATTTCATTTTATTTATAAGCTCGAATTCATATATCACAAAACAGTTTGAACATTTAATGATACATTTTTATGTATTACAGAAAAATGCTCCAATTTACTTTGTATTCTAAGAAACACAACTGAGATTTGGAATTCTGTGTTTTCGTTCTGTTCATTACAAATCTCTTCAATCCCTGAGGTTTTCATCTGAACGTTTACCTACGACCTCTCCGATCATGAAGACGAGGCAGACAGCTGAGGCGATGTAGAGTTTCTTCTTGGCCAGCATCTTGTCCACACTGTCCTCACACACCAAGGACTTGGCGCCGTGGCAGTGGGCGCCAACGGGTCGTTTCAGCTCGATGGCGCCGGCCATGCCGCCATTCTTAAACGGGAAGTCTGGAAATTGCTCTTTGGAGTCTGGGAAGGAGCTGCGGAGATTCAAAAGGTATGAGAGACAGTTTCATAATCGCAGGTGTTGTGGTTTTGTTTGTGTTGGGAGAAATTGGTGGTCGTAAGAGTTTGGAGACATTATGGCGTCTTTCGTCCAACATGTCTGTGAAGACACGTGGCTATCAGCTACCTGGCGTCAGAGCAGATACAACACACAGGTGGGGGTTCACCCTGTAACAGCAACAGATCTGCAAAATTACTGTTGTTGTTCGAATTGATTTTCTGGAAGAATGTCGCAGTGAAGCACATTATTGTTTGGGAGCGATACAAAGTGGAAATCTGACAAAGTGGATTACGATCAATGTTCACTTAAGTGGAAGAACGGTGAGATGGGCCATCGAGTGAGGGACCAGCTGGGATCGATGACACCGAGGAGAGGTGAGTGCATCGGTTCTGTTGTGTGTTTGATTTGTAAATTTAAATTCAGAAAAAAGAGACGTTGATGTGGTTTGAAGGTGAAAAAAAATCTTTTTGACAGTTTAACACAAGTCCGTTTTCAGACTCGGTTTCAAAGACATTTGATGATGAAATTTAATGTCAAGGACTAAATTAAAAAACGCTGCTGAAACAAGTGTTTGGACCTGATGGTCAATTATGAACCACATGGAGTTTGTTTCATCTATTAAAATCATCTTCTGTCTCAAACTGACACATGAAGAATGTTTTAATGTTTCTACCTGGTAACAGTGACTCGGTGTTACACGTGTAGATGTTCACCTGTAAAATAACACACGTGTATTTCAATCATGTGAACAGAACAAAATGCTGACTTCCCTTTTCCATTACACACACACACACACACACACACACACA